TGATTACAAACGTAACCACATGGTGAGCAAATAACTAATCATTAATAGCCCATTTCCGAGTTCTCACGTGTTGGAGATCTGGTGTCGAATTTAGTGCGCGAGAACGGGGCTAAGAGCGAAGTCGCTTCAGACGGCACGATAAATAAAAGTTCTTAAGGTGAATTTGCCGTAGAACATACAAAATGTTTGCCCTATGTTGGAAAGCGAAGACAGGGAAGTCCAACAACTTGAGAATATGTTGCGGATATCTTATTCCGGAATCGTCGGGGACGAACGAATATGGAGAGGTGGCGGCAAAATTCTCGAATCAGCTGTGCCAACCATTTTCAGACCGCGCGAAGACAGCAATGAGCGCTCGCTACGAATTAGCAATGAAGACGATCAAAACAGTAGAGGCAATGCTGCACGAAGACACCGATCGCGAACTCTGGGGTGTTAGAGAGGTTGTACGTCCAACTATTAAAAGTTTTGAGGTTTGGCAATTTCCACTATCTTGTTTGTAGGCTAAAACTCTCATCCAACAGTTTTTTTGTGGTCTTTGGCGAATCGGCCAGTTTTTTGAGTCTCAGATAAATCGAGCAGTCGTCAATATGAATGCCTCTCTCTCTCAAATAACTCGAATTCGCTCACGTTGAATTTCAAGAAATCTTCGTTGGGTGTTGTTGTTGGTTTCCTCGAAGCATCCATATTTTGTTATTTACAGTCGAAAATAAGCGAGTACGCAATTAGCCTCGTTCTCGCGCACTTATTTCGGCACCAGTCTCTTACTCGTGAACACTCGGAAATGGGCTATTGCCTTAGACAGGGGGCATCTTAGGGCATGTTTACTCGATCCTGATTAGTTAAAAATTACCCAAAGAGTTGATGTTAAGATTGTTGCCGGTCAAAATGTTTTCCACAATAATAGCCTCTCGATTTGCTGAAGATGACGACAGATGTATTGAGGAACTGATACAAAGCAATGAAAATAAAAACACAGAAAAGAAGCACGGAGAACTGGACCCAAATTGTTGAACAGTGGGCGGAAAGAAGAGACCAAAGTAAAGAGCTCGAAAGCTACGAAGTGGAAAAGTTAAACATAGCGCTCGAACAATGTTTCGACACGCTGAGGACGAAAATGGCAAAAGTACGAACTAGACTCGTTGAAAGTCATGGAAGCGACTTTAGACCGATATTACAATGCAAAAATTACCTTAAGTCAATTTTGTGAGATATAGAGTTCCTGTCGGCATGAAAAGTTCTTAGAAGGAAAAGCAAGGAAACTTCGAGAGCTTGGAAAGGGGAACGGCCCAAATAAACTGTTCAAAGTCTGACGTAAGGGGAAGAAAAATACCATAAAAAAATGGCCAGTTGGATTATGAAACCTCCTGGTCTCTCATTAATCTAATGCCCAGATCCTATCGGGTAACTGTAACTGAAATGCAACCATTTGGCCACGGAAGGTCTGGGTACGTGGCTAGTCTCTGATAAGCACCGTCTCTGATAAACACCGGTAATTCGCGACTTGAGCAATGTTTTGAGAACTTGCCATGCCGCGGAATTTCAGAGTACTATAATGCCGGAATTCCAATTCTGAAAGAACGCCAAGCTAAGGAGGGATAATAAGGACAAAGGAACGTAACAAGGGAATTGATTCAGAAGATTGGAAACGCCAAGGAATAAGAGATTGCTTAGAGTTAGGGGTGAGGTTACCTGGTACCTCTTTTGCAATTTACCATTAATTTTACGTCATGTAATAATCATGGTATACCTCAGTGCGATGAAGGAGAACAGTGAATCGGGCCAAAAAACATCTGATTATACACTATTTTTAACCACGGAAAAAAAATTAAGAACTGGAAACTTTAATTCTGAGAATGGGAGGTGAAAAAGTTTCAGGAGGGTCCCAATGGGTTTAGCCATTAACGGCCCAAAATTTATTGAATTTATCCGCTTCTTCTCATCCAAAATAGAATATTTGATAATCTTTTTCCTTTTTCTATTCGTTAAAGAATCCTCGTAATGTTGAGTCAGAAATTTATTGATGGATTTCCTCAGAGACTTACCCCTTGGAGGTAATTGTTTGTTGCACCGAGATGTTCGTTACACTGTCACACGTTACATGCAAATCACAGAACCAACTAAGAATTTTACATCAACTTACCGTTTGTTGCTAAGAATGCCCCTTTTTCATTTTGATAAAAGCAAAGGTACTTGGATCAAATACTTCCCTGAAAATAGGGGGAAAATATGCTAATGTACAGATGATAATATAGTTAACCCAACAGATGTAAAAAAAGTTGGGATTTTTCCAATAGTATGTAATTTTTTTTTGTCACGCCACTTAAAAACTGAAATTAAACCCGCCAAATGCTTGTAACCAAAAATTTCATATATTATAGAACACAAGAAAATTGACAAGCTGCCGAAGTGTTATTTCCAAGTCAGAACGTTCTCTGCCAGTGATTTTCTCGCCAACATCTTGGGGAAAAGGTTCACAGGGCTCCATCTTTAGGCCCCCATTTTTTCACGAAAGTTTCTTTCACTGAACCCATGTCTCTCAAAATGACCTTGGCCATGAAACCTTGGAAAGTGAAATTTTCACGAAATCTGCACTTGTTAGCTTAATTTTTCGAATACAAAAGATATCCTCAGCCGTATAGAATTCTCATCATCAGTTGCGAGTTTCATGGTCGAAGAAAAGAGGAAATGAAAACGTAAAAGTAGCTTGGGTTAAAACCGCAGACCGCTAGCGACGCAGGCTAACTTAAAAGCAGCTAAAATGATCGTTTTCAGGAGAATTCTTCTACACAGATCCCTCCTCGTAAATGAACTTCAGGTTCAGGTCTCCCCCTTTCTCTCCCTTTCTCAAACGAAATATCTATTGTTAATCATTTTTTTGTTAGACCAGGTTAGATCCTTCCTCTGATGTCACCTGCTTGCTACCATATTTTCGTCTCATCTGGATTAGCGCCCTCAAGAGTAACACTTAGCTGGTGATTTGGTCATTTTTCTGCAAAATTTCAATTAACTCTATCCGTATTTCGTATTCATAACTTTTTTTTAGTATATTTGTCTTCGATCATACAAATCACACCCACTAGAAAATGAAAATTTCACGAAGATAAGGAGTCGATGGTCACGCACAGATAGCTTACCGTTTCAAAAATAAGCTTCAGTTGTACCTAGATCGATCTTATGATGAAAATCCAACCTTTCCAAAGGGATGAACACTTAGGTATGACGTTCCCTGTTAAAATAGAACAAAATGTTCCATTTTTAAATGTTCAAATCCATAATTAGATATAATCGTTTAACATATGAAAACGAAATACACTCAAGAAGGTTGGATCTTGTATCATTTTATTTATTTATTTTTTACAACATTTTGTAATAAAGATTTGCCAATACATAGCTTAACCTTGTAACTATACATTACCAACAATGAACCACTTACAATAGACAAAAACTCTACGGTGGCCGATTCACATTATCAACTTGATGAAACCAAATTTGCTTGTCACATCCTCCACTGACATGCACAGTTTCTTTAAAACCTTTCCTCCTTTATGACCTTGAAGAGGTCGGATTCGTTAGAGGGTGACTCTAAACAAATAAACTGTACCCGCGCCCGGCGATACGCAATTTAATCAACGGATGCAATACACTTTAAGTCCTAAACGGTACTTGAAGCTTTAATACCGACCTTGTGGTTTGTTATTGTGTTTTCCTCTATCGAATATATTTTCCACTTTTTATCGTAGCGAAATATCACAACCGTCTTCCGTCAGGTCACTGAATCAAACAGAACATGATCGAGGTGTTACTCCTCTTCACATGACACAAAAAAATTGAAGTATTTCGTTTGTTTTAAACAGACAGTACTTACCACGACCTTTAGACATCGGTGCCTTGCCGTAAAGGAAGCCATCTCTACCAGACTGTTTGGTTTTTGTCGAACATACGTCACCGGTCACTCATATCAAACAGCCAATAGAATATGATCCTCTGCCTCTATGTGGCACTTTCGCAGTCGTTCTCGTTCACAGGCCTACCGTTTCTCTCGACCGGAAGTCCATTCACGCTGAGCAAATGGAAACCTCATATAATAAATTTTCGCTCAATGAAGTTGAATCACCAAACCCACATAATTACTTTTGATTGGAACAGATACGATAAAGCAGCAGTAAATGAGACATTCATTCTATTCACGTCATCAAAGGTATAAGAGGAGGACTCTAATTTATACGATAATCTTCTAGAAATAAAAATAAAAAAAAAATTCCTTCCAAGTTAATAAAAGGGAAGCTACTTACTGTGATTCAATGCATACGAGTGGAAAATCATATTTTTCACTGTTTTTATTCTACTTTTGATACAGAATAGCAAAGAAAATAAAACTTAAGCATGGATTGCTTTAGGAAGGAAGGAAGCAGTTATTAGACAAAGATAAGGGACAGGTACTTTTATTTCTGTCTTCCGGGTTCACTGACACGCTTCACGCAATGTCATCGCTCAAATTTGCAAAATGTTCAGTCTAAGTGTTAAAATATGGATTCTTCATCAATAAATAAACAAATCAAGAAATCAGAGCAATGCAAGGGTACACTCTCTCTGTTTGCTCCTTACTCCCCATACTTGTTTTCTATTGTAGGATCTGGGTACGAGGTTAGTTTTCTACTTAACCCCCCCACCACCTCCATCCTAAACCTATTTTTTTTCATTGTGCTCTTGCTCGCTTTAAGTGAAGCGACGAGAAGGTGGGGAGGGGGATGGGGTGGGGAGCGATTCTCCTCACAGCTGAAACCATGTTGTACTGATTGTGTTGTACTAAGTTTTTTTTAATTTACTATTTTAAGTGCGCCTTTTTGAAAACAAAATCATATCTAACGAAAAATGCCTGAGCCACAGGTTCTTCTCAATCCCATTACCGAAGAAAAGGGATTTGACAATTTTCCCGGCCTGATTTGTCATCCATCTCACCACTTAAAAAAAAAACATTTTTTAGTGTTGAAATAAATTTATCTACTATGAATAAATAAGGTGTGTAGCAATCCAACACCAGATCCGAGCAAAGAAAATATTGCAATTGTTATGGTAATTTGTATCTTAAACAGGCGAAATCCATAACCATGTCTTTTGCTCTGCGCAAGGAACACTTCTAAGTCTTGCCTTGAGTGGAAGGTCTCTTCAGGAAGATAATCTGTCTTGTCGTTCAAGTCTTGCACGAGTGTGGACTCGTGCCAAGTGACATAACTCGCTGACAAGAAAGGGAAGAAAAATTTGTACACAACGACCAGCGTGCCGGATATTTGAGCCATGTACTGGACAACAGAGTGTAACGAGTCTCTTTCAGCTTCCCACCAGTCGAAAATACTGGCTAAAAACACCACCAGGTAAAAGAGTGTGTGAATTAAAAACCAGACACGCATGCTGTTTGTCCGTTTTTCAGTTTCATCACGCACTTGCTTGTGCATTATTACAGCATCTCGAACATCCCCAGTGCATTTAGCTAAGCGAAGGTATCCTTTTGCGAGATCGTTCGTCATCGAGAGGCTCAGGGAAAAAAACACGCAGCAAACAGCGATAGACGAATACATTCCCCAGTATATAGAAGTGATAAGGGGATACCAAACACCGTTGCAAGCTTTTTTATTTTGGCACTTATATGTAAGGGCTTTTTTAATGTGGTCTAAATCAAACTGATCTTGATAACAGACATCTACGAACAGGACCCATGACACAAGCAGCAAACCAGTAAACAGACCCACGTTGACAGCTCGGTGTTGAATTTTGCTCAGACCTCGCATCCATTCCTGTGACTGATATCTGAAGTAATGCAAAGCCAGGATATACGATGAAAAACCGCTTATCCATAGAGATGTGAGTAGCATTTTTGACCCAATGTGAACTTTCAGAGTCGTTTGGTCATTTGCCAACACAATAAAATACAGATGTGTCCCCAAGCCGAAGAGCATGTGAAAGATCGGTATAAAAGTTAGCGGCCAAAGAGATCTGTCCTTCTTAGGCAACCAAAAACCAAGAAAAGCAACCGCTAGGAAACAAGACAAGGGCCAATGGGCATCAAAGAGAGCAAACTTGAGTTTTGTGAGGATTATGCAACACCGACCCCTCGGTCGTTCGTCAATCGCGTCTCCGTGTACATCAAAAGCAGTGTTTTGCACTGAGTTATCGTAAACATCTTCCGGCCGTTGAAGGGAAGAAGTGATCTCCTGCCTCAATAATGGTTCTGTTTCTTCGGTTGGTATCTCTACCTCCATTAAAGCTTACTCAAGATCTTTACTTCCGGGATGATACTCTGGGAGATTAGGTCCCAATCTTCGCTCCAACACTCAAGTGGTTCGCCCAAATTTCGCTCAAGCCAGTCCCTGGCCTCGGTCACCAAAACCGAATGAAAAAGAGGGTGAGTGGTTACAGAAAAAAGTCAGCTAAAACATCACATTTTGGGTCGGAAATGCCAAGCAGGTTAGTAAAAAATTATACAATTACAAGCCTCGAGGGGTTTTCTAATGCAAAAAAAAAATTAAAATAGATAATTTAGATACTTGCATAGCGACTGTAAAAATGGAGCAAATTGTCTTGCACAAGGCTCCACAGTCTTGCATTATACTGCCTTTGAGATGCAAAATCCAAGTAGAAAAGTAAAGAGCAGTAGTCATTTGAGGAAATGGTTGAAAATTAAGTTACCGTAGGTCGAATTAGGGAGGAAAACATTGGACTCAAGGTGGCTCGGTCTGTACATTTTTATCTGCCTATTCTTATCCAGCCCTCCAACTCATTCAATAAGTAAGTATATATTACACTAATCTTGAATTAGTTTTTGGATGGTTATTTAGTTTATACGTCATGGTTGATCATAAAAAAAAGTTATAATTGTGGTGAGCAGTGGGAAAGTTTTATTTTAATCAAATGTTCTCTCTGACTGAGAAAATGACAAATTTCAACTTTAATTCTAACATTGGAACTGGATGAGGTTGGAATACTCACGAAGACTCAGAATTCTTTTTGTTCCAGACTTTTCACAAATTTTCACTTTCTTTATGTGCAGACTAATTCTATGGCAGATACATGCTCAATAGTTGAAGTAAATTTTTCTGTTTACACATGGATCTGCAAAGCATAGGAAGTAGTTATGAAGGGATTCGATATGCAAATCTTGTACCTTTAACACAGCTATAAGAGTCTAGGGAGGGCATACATCTTATTAACAATGGAGAAACAATTATTAAAAACAACAGATCAATTAGGGAGGACTTTGGTGGTAATGACAGCTATTTCGTACCACATGACCAAGTCAGTCTTGGTCTGAGGTGTATTTTGAATTGGTCGGAGAGGGTCAAACAAATTTTTGTAAGTAGATCACAGTGTAAACAAAGCAATTCCATGCAGTTCTGGCCCGAGTTGTTGAAAAGCTGATAAGCGCTACCCATGAGATAAATCCCTATCCAGTAAATAATTTGGAGAGCTTTGCCATGACTTATCTGCTGGATAGCAATGTATCCATTGGATAGTATTATATGCCCTTTGAACAACTGGGTCCTGGACTTCATCACACACCTCATTGAAAGCTTGTTGTTCTATTGCTGTCTCTGTCATTGTAATTGGCCTCATACATGAGCTTTACCATAACCCAGGGCTTAGTTGTTCAAAGGTCAATTAGCACAAACCCAAGGTTAAATTTTAACTGCTTTTCCTTTATTCAAAAGCTTTTTGGGGATAATTTTCTGTACTCTTATAGAGCATGCATCCAATAATTATAATTATTCTAAACAAAAATAATTTAACTGAATTTGACTTTTAAAGCCTTTAGATCTGAATTCAGAGTTCACAGTAACCCTGGGTTATCTTAACCTAGCTTTGAAAGACTGGCCTAGATGTCTAAAATCAAAGTTTGACCAAACATGGGCTTCTGGTATTTAAGTGTCTCACAGATTAACTATGTCTAAGGCCAATTATTAACTTAAAGGAACTTGTCCTTTGCATTTTCATTCAGATCATATTCATTTTCAAGTCCTTCAAAGCCTCTTCAACCTTCAGGAAAGATATCAGGTAAAGTTCTCAGAATTAATCAAACGTGATAACAATTTCAATATGGCTTTGACTTGAATTTTTTTTCATGGAGAACAGGGCTCTGTTGCTTGAAATATGTTATTTTTTGCCACACATTCATGGCTGTATGTGATCTACCAATAACGTTTTTTGTGGTAGTGGTGGGATAACACTTGATTGTACATGGTGATGGAGTGAAGGATTTTGCTTTTGAAGTGGAGGACTGTATTACTCTTTACAAGGTGACCTGTGGCCTGTAGCAAGGTAGCATGTAGCCTAGCTCGTCACAAAATCTCTATAGATTAGCAGAAGAGGCACTGATATGACTGCAAAATGTGAGGGCCTGAAGTGCAAATTAGTTCATGGGGATGAATTTTTTCTTGTCCCATTCCTACAATGAACAAATGACTTATAGTCAAACCTATACTGAGTGGCTCGTTATTAAGTGGTCACCCTGTATTAATCCTTAAGCTCCCAGGGGTGATTAACATGTAGTTTCTCCATATGATATCCAAACATTATCCAGAAAAAAGGTGTCAAGAATACTAAAACTTGTCAGGTAGAAGTTGTTATCTTGATCAAACAGCAAAATGCTTGTAACTAATTTACAAGGAAATGTGTCGCAGCTGGAGGGGAGAATTATCAATCAGATCTTGGAAGTTAAAGGGTTAACAGGTGGGTATCAAAGGCCTGAAATTTTTCCCCCATAGTTACTGACAGTAATTTTCACCTCTATTAGATGGTCACTTTTATTAAGCCTGTAACTTTCTGAAGTGATCAATATGAAACTTCTCCCTATAATATCCTTACATTATCCAGCAAATAGTTAATAAGTTAGAAGTTAGGCTTATAAGTTAGAAGTTGTTATCTTCATCTAACACCAAATTCTCATTACTAATTTACAGAGAAATGTGTAGCAACTTGAGGGGAGAATTAACAATTTGATCCTGGGAGTCAAAGGGTCAAGCAGGCATGCTCACCCTTCAGTGAGTCCCTCCCCCAGTTTGTATTGTCTTCCACCTGTATTCAATAGCCACATAAAGCAGAACAACTCAAATTTAACTAAGAATCACCTCTCAAGTCAAATTTATTCAATGTTTATCACCTTAACCCTTAAACTCCCAGAAGTGACTGACTAGCAACTTCTCCCTATAATATCTAAACATTATCCAACAAACGGGTCATGAGAATATTCAAACTTATCCTGTTGAAGTTGTTATCTGGATCTGACATCAAATTCTTGTAACTTATTTACAAGGAGATGTCTAGCAGCTAGAGGAGAGAATTAACAATAAGATCTTGGGAGTTTAAGGGTTAACAATTAGCACTCTGAGTTCGTTAATGTCCACAACTCATTGCAGATGGTCTTTCTTCTTAAGATTGTTAGGACAAAATGGTGTTTTATCGCATTTGTTCTTATTCTGTGGAACCTCACACCATTTTAACACCCTAATATCAGAATACATCTTCTACATACTGTTATCTTTACTTTTCTCATGGTACTGACAGGAGAATTTGTTTAAGAATCCAGAGTGTTATCATTTGATGATCATTTCCTTTATTCTCATGACCGTAAAGTTTGATAAAGGCATGTTATTTTAAGGGGAAATCAGATTCCAGTTACTTGTAGGGGTTAAAAGGTTAATGGTCAACCCATAATGAGTGGTCACCCACTACTCCCTATGCTTAATACAATATTTAAGTTATTGTTGTAATTCTTTTGTTTGGTTCATACAGGCAGCCATTAAGGGTGGTACTTTGTCTGTTCACAAGCCATGGGATGAAACAGATGAAGATGGCACTGAGACTTTTGCAACTGTGCAGACAGTGAGTATATCTATTACTACTTTAAATAGCAATGGTATTTTGTTTCTTCAGAGTCTTGATTGGTTTACAGGACTTTTATTAGAGCCCCTGGTCACAGACAATTGAGAGAATTTTTTGGATTTTTAGCAGATCTTAAAATATCTCACAAGTCATATTTGAGAATGAACAGCAATTATTGTTCTACTCACACTTGTTGACTATGAGATAGTTAACCCTTTCACCCCCAAGATCTCATTAGTACCTCTCCTTACTGTCTGCTATACAATTCTGTAGATTTTATTCTGAGAATTTTCCATTGGATTAACCAATAATCTCCTTATTGATATTTTTCTTTGATCTCATCACTTGCCTGCTTGATATTGTATTGGTATTGAAAGGAAGAATTCTGTGGGTGGGTGGGTGGCTCAATGTATCGATGATATAGTTTCTTTCCCCATCAAATGTTCCGTTTCTTTTTGCCCTTCTGCTTCCATTTCCAATCCATGCTCAGTTATAACTTTCTTTCCCACAAATAACTACATGCTTCTGTCCATCCCAGCATTTTCTGTCAGTTCACCGATAGCAATTTTTAGAAAATACCAAGTGAATACCCAGGTGAATAGTGCTTTTGGCGCTTGTTGATTGGCTAATTGGGAAGTGCCCGAGCAGCCGAAGAGACAAAATTGCGCATCAAGAATTTTATTTCGACCATTTTCGGCACATTGACAGATAAAAACTAATTCTGTTCATATGTGGTATATACTAAAACAATTATCACCCTTCACTTTGGTGAATAACTGTGTAGTATACTTTGGTAGAGTTGGACTAGCAATGTAATCTAGGTACGTGCTTTACCCTAAAATAGACAACACATAACAACTAGTGAGGGAGAAACTTTGCAACACCGAATCCATTCTAGAACCCTCTTCTCTTTCATACAGAAGAGCTTCTTTTTGCTGATTTTTCTGTCCTCCAAAATCGAATGTCTGATGTTTTTGATGATTGTTAGAGAATCATTGCACGATAGCGACAGTACACCCAATATTTGCCTTCAATCGTTAGTGAAACTCCTGAAAGGATTTCAAAGACTGCTCAGATAAACCGATCCTATAACTTTTGTGAGGGATTAATGTATTCTGCAACTCCTGTAGGCCGACTGAACCTTTACTACTAAGCATTAAGGACACAATGAATTCCCCGTGGGTGGTGATGATAGTCCATTCTCCCCTTACTTGCTCGTGTCTGCAGCGAGAGATCATTCCTTATATTCAGCCATTTTGTTTGACCATGTAACAATCGATCGGAAAAGGACTGGGCAGGAGGATCGAAGTGCTTATTTGGTTGAAGAGAAAGAGAATACCCTGAATGATGTCTAAAGCTTTTTATTCAAACTCTTAAGATCTGAATACTCATCGATTACAGCAAATAAAGGGTCTAGGAGTAAAGTATAAACAAAACTGAAATCTTTAAGAGTCCAGTTGAAACTGTATTGCTTAAGTGTCACTAGTAACCAGTGCACAAAATCATTGGTTAGTCCCTTTAAAAACGGTTTCATAGAAATAATTTATACTTAGAAGATCTTTTTGCACACTAACTACATGTAATATATTTTCCGAAAAATCTGGAAAGTAATGAATTGTGCAATGGTTTTCTGACAAGTAACTCAAAACTTTATTGCTTGTTAAACAGAGGTAATTCCCCGAATATTTAATCCCGTTAAAATATTAGAGTATATATAAATCAAATACGGAACGCAGTTTAAAAAATTGCAAAATGTCATTACATTTTTCCTTGCAAAAAGAAGAACTATGAAAACCATCTTTAATTATATTCCAATGGAGAAAGAGTTTTTCATCATACTTGAGGTAACATAAGGTCCCTTTAGACTAAGTTTACAAAAAAGTTTCTGATGGGTTTGGCGTTACAGAGATATCATTTGAACTTTACGAATGGGGTATAATGGAGAGCCTCTCTCTCGAAAGAAACTATTCAATCTAGGCTTGGGCTACTTAGCGTATCACTTTCGAAAATAACTTGCGTTCAATTTGCTTGACATTATTAAGTAATCGCTGTCGAAAAGACAGATTAGGAAAATTTGCTTGACTTGACCACTTAACCATTCACTTTCGAAAAAGAAAGTTCTCGAAGTTTGTTCATGGTCTAGCTTTCATTAACTCTGCGTTGTGAACTGTTCTGTTCCATGTGATATGTTACACTTTCTCATAGAAATGTCCTGTGGTGACAGTGGCTGAATACCACGAGTTCAGCTCGCTTACGTATTTCTTCATTTAAAGGGGGGATAGACAATTATGAGGTTTGCTCAGTCCTAGGTCCTGTACTTTCCAACACAGGGGGTTTACTTTACCCCAGGCTCTTCGGGTGTTGTTGACGCCCACCAATCTCCAAAATCAAAAGTCACGTTGTCGCCAATTAACATAAAGGAGGCCCACTTAGAAACGTCTTCAAAGCCGTTATTCCTCATCCACTTCCTGGCCTCGTGGAGAGACTCACTGGCACTTTCCCCACGGAACAAGTGTTCGTAGAAACAATTCATGAACTGCTCTGTGGCTGTGTCAACCAGGGCCCACCGTGCCGCTAACACCGAGCGAGCACCGGATCCTATGAACGCTCGAGCGATTCCGATAACTCCCTCGGCTCTAATCTGTCCACGGGCACTGTGACAACAGCTAAGTACCACCAGTTTCGCTCGCAGCTTAATTTGTGAAATGTCCGCCATCGTCAAAAGGTAGGCTTCTTCTCTTGGAATAGAAGAAGGCGTAAGGTGCTTTGGGCAAAGAAGAATCTCCCCTCTTTCAGCATCACCATGGGCAGCAAGATGAATGAGACTCACTGAGTTTATCGCTTCAAGTACAGCCTCTTTTGTCGCACGGTCTGCAATCAGAGGCGTTACGCCAAGAAGTCTTCCAATCATCGATGCTTCATTTCTTGCACATGGCAATTGTGAAATTGTCTTTCGTCGTCCCTTGTAAATCACCTCTCCAACCTCAGGGTCACCCACTATCAGTGCACCCGTCTGACTATGATACTCTGGGGGGCTCTCCTGAATGAGCTTAAGAGTCGTTAAAGAGGGAACGATGCGGATCCTGGCCGTCTCTGATAAGAACTTGCCCCCTTTTTCACTTAAGGCTGCAAATGGGACTTGGTACATACAGGAATCGGGAACAATTATGATCTCGGGCTCCTGCAGTAAATCGGCCACAGGAGCGATGATTATCTTGTGACACAAGTGAAGATTTGTTTTGATATCTTTGGCAGCATCATCATCACGCATGGGTGCGCGATTTTTATCATTAAGCGACATTGAGTCGGTATCTTCAAACGATCGATCTTCACACTTCTCTTCGGGTAAAATGCCAAGGCCGCGGAAGCTTTCTGAGAAAAACTCATCTAAGACAGGGACTAATCCTGTCACCTTGCTTGGGTCAAGACACACCTCTCTTTCCAAAAATAGAATAGCTCTCCTTGCTTTGAGAATCCAAAACCGAACAGATTTTTTATCAACCGAAATGTACAGGCATGCACAGTCTCCTTTGGTGATAATATTCTGAATGCCATACCATGTTTGGGGATTGCTAGATATCTGCTGTGTGACAGAGTACTGAGTTGCCATCAAGTCGGCCAGGCATCTTGCCCGTCTCAGCTCCTCGACATAAAGAGCGTCTTCTGGCTTTTCGGTGGAAGATAGTAACCCACTGAGTAGCTTGTTGGGAAAGGTGCCGTACGCCTCTAAAAGTGATATTTTAAGCTGATCGTTGTCTTTAAGAGAACTTCGTACAGAGTCAAATTTTTCAATGCTTTGAAAAAGGTACGAAGAGGCCTTTTCAAAATCCATTTGAGATGCCTTCAGCAACACTAGTGAACAGAGAGACCGATACTCACTCAAGCTGTGCCCAATCTCCTTACTTAGTCGGAGGGCCTTCTTAAAGTATTCTTCGGCCCTGTCATAGCTACCAAGTGACTCGAAACATGATCCCAAATTTGCATAATTGAATACTAATCCTTTTCTGTTGCCAATTTCCATATTAATTGCAAGGGCTCTGTTGTAATATTCCTGAGCATTGTTGTATTCACCACGTTTCTGAGCAATTCTTCCAAGGTGTTCTAAATTAACTGTTTCTCCAGTTCTGTGACCGGTTTCCTTTTTAATTGCCATTGCTTTCTCAAGATACTTGTCGGCCTTCCCATATTTACCAATGGACAGAAATAAAGCTGTTAGGCTTGTATAAATGTCTCCCTCTAATCTTCGGTAGCCACTTATCTTTCCAATGTGTAATGCTTTCTCTAGATATTCGTGAGACACACCATATTCACCCAGAGACTGAAAAAATGCTCCCAAGTTTCCATAGCTTAAAATTTCTCCATCAATGCCACCGATTTCCACTCGAATAGCAAGTGACTTCTCAAGATGCTCTCGAGCCTTGTCATATTGGCCAAGCGATTTGAACAATGATCCCAGTTTTAAATAGCATGAAGCTTCTTTGTCTCTGCTGTTATTTTCTATGTTAATAGCGAAAGCTTTCTCCAGATACTCGCGGGCTTTGTCATATTGATCAAGCGATGAGAATAATGCCCCTAGGTTTTCGTAGCATGAGGCTTCTCCATCTCTATCGCCAATTTCAATGTTAATAGCAAGTGCTTTCTCCAGATACTCTCCAGCCTTGTCATATTGACAAAGTGAATGAAAAAATGTTCCCAGGTTTCCGTAGCATTGAGCTTCTCCATCTCTGTTGCCAATTTCTTTCTTGATAGCGAGTGCTTTCTCCAGATACTCTTGGGCTCTGTCATAATGACCAATCGATTGTAACAATCTTCCTAGGTTGCCGTAGCATGAGGTTTCTCCGTCTTTATCTCCAATTTCTATCTTGATAGCGAGTGCTTTCTCCAGATACTCTTGGGCCTTGAAATTTTTACCAAGCGAATGAAACAGTGTTCCTAGGTTTCCGTTGCATGAAGCTTCTCCATCTCTATCGCCAATTTCTATTTTGATTGCGAGTGCTTTCTCCAGATACTCTCTGGCCTTGTCGTATTGACCAAGCGATGTAAACAATGTTCCTAGATTTCCGTAGCATGAAGCTTCTCCGTCTTTGTTGCCAATTTCTATCTCGATAGCGAGTGCTTTCTCAAGATACTCTCGGGCCTTGTCGTATTGACCAAGCGACTTGTACAATGTTCCTAGGTTTACGTAGTATGAAGCTTCTCCATCTCTGTTGCCAATTTCTATCTTGATATCGAGAGCTTTCTCCACATACTCTCGAGCCTGGCTAAATTGACCTAGTGATTTGTACAATGTTCCTAGTGTTAAGTGGCTTAAAGCTTCTCCATCTCTGTCGCCAATTTCTATCTTGATAGCGAGTGCTTTCTCCAGATACTCCCGGGCCTTGTCATATTGACCGAGCGACTTGAACAATGATCCTAAGTTTCCGTAGCATGAAGCCTCTCCATCTCTGTGGCCAATTTCTATGTTAATAGCGAGTGCTTTCGCCAGATATCCTCGGGCCTTGTCGTATTGACAAAACGAGTGGAACAGTTTTCCTAGGTTAACGAAGCATGAAGCTTCTCCTTCTCTGTTGCCAATTTCTATCTTGATAGCGAGAGCTTTCTCCACATACTCTCGGGCCTGGACATATTGACCGAGCGATTGGAACAATATTCCTAAGTCTCCGTAGCATGAAGCTTCTCCATCTCTATCGCCAATTTCTATCCTGATAGTGAGTGCTTTCTTTACATACTCTCGGGCCTTGAAGTTTTTACCAAGGGAGTGGAACAGTGTTCCTAGGTTTACGTAGCATGAAGCTTCTCCATCTCTATTGCCAATTTCTTTTTTGATTGCGAGTGCTACCTCCAGATATTCTCGGGCCTTCTCGTATTGACCAAGCGATGTAAACAATGTTCCTAGGGTTACATAGCATGAAGCCTCTCCATCTCTATCGCAAATTTCTATCTTAATAGCGAGTGCTTTCTTCAGATACTCTCGGGCCTTGTCGTACTGACTAAGCGACTTGAATAATGTTCCTAGGTTTACATAGCATGAAGCTTCACCATCTCTGTTGCCAATTGCTATCTTGATATTGAGAGCTTTCTCCAGACACCCTTGGGCCTTGTCATATTGACCAAGCAATATATACAATGTTCCTTGGGTTAAGTAGCATGAAGCTTCTCCATCTCTGTTGCCAATTTCTACCTTGATAGCGAGTGCTTTCTCCAAATAATCTAGGGCCTTGTCATATTGACTAAGTGATTTGAACAATGATCCTAGGTTTACGTAGCATGAAGCTTCTCCATCTCTATTGCCAATTTCTTTTTTGATTGCGAGTGCTACCTCCAGATATTCTCGGGCCTTCTCGTATTGACCAAGCGATGTAAACAATGTTCCTAGGGTTACGTAGCATGAAGCCTCTCCATCTCTATCGCAAATTTCTATCTTAATAGCGAGCGCTTTCTCCAGATACTCTCGGGCCTTGAAATTTTCGCCAAGCGAAAAGAAAAGTCTTCCTAGGTTTTCGTAGCACAAAGCTTCACCATCTCTATCGCCAATTTCTATCTCGATGGCGAGTGCTTTCTCCAGATACTCTCGGGCCTTGACATATTGAGCAAGTAATTTGAACAATGTTCCTAGGTTTACGTAGCATAAACCTTCCCCAGCTCTATCGCCAATCTCTATCTTGATATCTAGAGCTTTCTCCACATACTCTCGAGCCTGGCTAAATTGACCAAGCCATTTATACAATGTTCCTAGTTTTAAGTAGCATGAAGCTTCCCCATGTCTGTGACCAATTCCTACCTTGATAGCGAGTGCTTTCACCAGATACTCCCGGGCCTTGTCATATCGACCGAGCGACTTAAACAATGATCCTAAGTTTTCGTAGCATGACGCCACTCCATCTCTATGGCCAGTTTCTATCTTAATAGCGAGTGCTTTCTCCAGATACTCTCGGGCGTTGTCATATTGACCAAGCGATATGAACAATGATCCTAGGTTTCCATAGCATGAAGCTTCTCCATCTCTATCGCAAATTTCTATTTTAATAGCGAGTGCTTTTTCAAGATACTCTCGGGCCTTGTCATATTGACCAAGCGAAATGAACAATATTCCAAAGTTTCCGTAGCATGAAGCTTCTCCATCTTTGACGCCAGTTTCTATCATGATGGCGAGTGCTTTTGTCAGATGCCCTTGGGCCTTTTCGTAGTGACCAAGCGACTTGAACAATTTTCCAAGGGTTAAATAGCATGAAGCTTCTCCGTCTCTGTTGCCAATTTCCATCACGATAGCGAGTGCTCTCTTCAGATACACCTGGGTCTTGTCATATTGACCGAGCAATCTGAACAATGAACCTAGGGTTAAGTAGCATGAAGCTTCTCCATTTCTATCGCCAATTTCTATCTTGATAGCGAGTGCTTTCTTCAAATACTCCCGCGCCTTGTCATATTGATCAAGCGATTCGAACAATCTTCCTAGGTTTCCGTAGCATGAGGCTTCTCCATGTTTATCTCCAGTTTCTATCTTGATAGCGAGTGCTTTCTCCAGATACTCTCGGGCCTTGTCATATTGACCAAGCGAATAGAACAGTGTTCCTAGGTTTCCGTAGCATGAAGCTTCTTTATCTCTGTTGCCAATTTCTATGTTAATAGTAAGCGCTTCCTTCAGATACTCTCCGGCCTTGTCATATTGACCAAGCGCTTGGACCAATGTTCCTAGGCTTCTGCGGCATGAAGCTTCTCCATCTCTATGGCCAATGTCTATGTTAATAGTAAGCGCTTTCTTCAGATACTCTCGGGCCTTGTCATATTGACCAAGCGCTTGGAACAATGTTCCTAGCACAAAGTAGCATGAAGCTTCTCCATGTCTGTGGCCAATTTCTATCTTGATGGCGATTGCTTTCTCCAGATACTCTCGGGCCATGTTAAATTGATAAAGCGAGTGGAACAATATTCCTAGGTTTTCGTAGCATAAAGCTTCTCCATCTCTATGGCCAATTTCTATCTTAATGGCGAGTGCTTTCTTCAGATACTCTCGGGCCTTGTCGTATTGACCAAGCGATCGGAACAATGTTCCCAGGCTTACGTAACAGGAAGATTCTGCATTTCTGTCGGCAATTTCTATGTTGATAGCAATTGCTTTTTCCAGATTCTCTCGGGCCTGGTTATATTGACCAAGCAATTTGAACAATGATCCTAGGTTTTCGTAGCATTCTGACTCTCTTCGTGCATTGCCAGTCGTTTTGAAAATGTTTTTTGCCACGTCATAAAATCCTTCAGCCTCCAGAAACCTTTTGGTGATGTGAAGTATTCTTGCCAGTGATAAATTTAACCATCCTTTTATGACGTGGTCATCAGAGTCCTGATAAAAGAGTAATTGTTCTCTGACTTGTTTTTCAAAACTTGTTGAATTATATACTGTAGACCAAGCTTTTGCCTTTAAACTTAGAATGCGTTGGTGGTATAATTTGGTAACTGCGCTCTCATTGCCTAAATCTCCATTGCTGAGCAAAATAAAGCATTCCTCGCACAACTGGATGGCTTTTAAAACGAAACCAGTGTTGAGAAAGAGCGTGGCGACAGCTAAACCTATGTTGATAGCTGACGTAGTAAATTCTTCTCCTGTGTTGTTCATCATAGCTCTTGTCGCTGTGGCATTTAGGAAAAAAGAAGAAAATATTCAAATACTTTGTGCCTGAGTAGTCTGAAAAATTGTTGCAGTTGAACTTAGCATTTAGTATGACTCAGATATGACGTACGTACGTCCCTTATATTATCTAAAGGTTCTATGAGGGGACATGGGTTCGAGACTATACGAGGGACATGGGTTGGATCTCCAATTTTTTGTTCATGTCACAGAAATTTGACCCACATTCATGTTTGCGCCGCTCGTTAAGAGGTTTTTTCTCAAATCAAATGAAACAATATTGCAAAGTATATAACCGTGATTTTACCATTGCTTCATCGCACATAACATTTAATTTTGGGAATATGAGAAATGGTAATTAAAATGTGATCACTTCTTCAATCCGTTACTAACTGCCTGCTGATTGAACAGTCGCTGTGAATACGCTCAAATTAGAAAACAAGGAAGGAAATTTAATTTCATATAATTTTAACATTTCTATGATGATTGCCATAGTGATACTTCTGATAAAAGAAAATTTACACATATTGCACAACAGTTTAATTGAGAAGAGAAGAGAAGACCAAAATTTCTCAGCAAAAAATACGTTCTTATCACCAAACATGAAGTTTGAACTTTAGATGTTCCAAAATTTTCTTGGCTGCATCCAAGCAAACTTAGGGATAGAGATTTTGAAAAGGAGATTTGTCATCTTAGTATTTTCTGGGGAGGATGATAAAACATGTCTTTAAAATGGAGTGCAGCAGCCTGTGCACAAAATTTAGTTGGCTTGGGTTGCGGAATTGTTTGGCAAGGGTTACACTGGGGGAACCATTAAATAAAAAGTGCAAAAAATTTCTAGCATTTCGAATGCATTTGTAATAACTCTTATTTTATATTTATACACAGAGCGGAGACTTATCGAGAGAATCCTAAACGGGTAATGATAGAACCGAAGTGTTTGTTGATTAAGACGTAAAAAGAGAGAAATAGATAACAAACGGTTTTAAAATCGAACGCTCATCCAGCTTAATTTATGATAAAGTTCGGATGTAACGCGCGCTGTCATTGGTTGAAAGAGCGTGCTCTATGAGAGTATAGAGTATAGAGCTGAGTTAAAGCTGTCACGCCATCTGCCAAATTGTACTATGTTCGACCTTTTCCGGGACTTCTTTTTAGCTTTTTTCCGATAATTGAAAGTGAAATTTCGGAACAAGCGAACCGGCAAGTAGCAACAGAAGAACCAAACAAAGGTTTGTAAACATACCAGGCGCCGTAATTTACGTTATTAAAATGTGAGCAGCACGAAAATCCTCAAAAGAAAAACAAAACAGACATTCCGAGTTTTAAAGATTAATTCACGCTCAGTTAGATTGCAAGCTTACGTACGGAAATAAAATTCAAACACAGCTAACACTCATATAGTATATAAAGTTCAGTGTTCTAAAACAAAACAGAACAAAACAGAATTGATGAAAAATATAACCAAACTGGCATAACTGTTAAAATTCATTCTAATCATGACGGTGTCTGAGCGAATATGATCATGCTGAAGTCTATCTCGGCTCGCTCATTATGGCGATCTCCGGTCATCACAGTAAAGCAAGCATCAGAAACTACATCGGCCGCCCTTCGAGTGAAAAAATAAGAGCTTGCCCTGATATCCTTTCCGATGCGTTGAGTGGAAAGTCACATCTGTCACTGCAGCCGAGTTTTGCCGCAATGTCATCCCGAGCGATCTTCATGTTCCGGTGAATTCGGCTGTCGTTCATTTAAAAAACACTCGCCTTGAACAGTTTATTTTCTACCTTGTCATGTGAAAAAACTGGCGTGTTTTTATGAGCCTTATTCGGCTGAAGTTCACTGAACATTTCACTTCAAGATTCTGTATTAGAGACTTAAGAACTTCAGACAAACGTGTTGAATTCGACCAGCCGAACTATTTTAGTTAGTAAACTATCGCAGAATGTGAACTTTGATGGTTTGACACTTTTGACAGCTTTAGTCTTGTACAGCCAATCAGATTATTTGAACCATTCTAACAGGGATTCTGACTGACTTATTGTAGCTTGCTTTATGAGAGTATAGAGCATACTGACGACGCTTTGGAAATAAAGTTTGTTTTGAAAATTGAAAGGAATGCTCGGGGAATTTAATGGATTCTTTATTACAAAACAAATAGAGAAGCCTTGACTGTGTTCTGTTCTGTTATAAAGCACTTAGGAAGCACTAAGGAAGCACTTAGGAAGCACTTAGGGAGAAAGTAGTAGTGCTTTATTGAAGAAATGTAAAATGGTTTCCGTGTTTACATAGCCTGATGTAACACGCGGGAGGTTGGGAGAACACGAGATAAGCGTAGGAAACCACGACGCGGAGCGGAGTGGTTTCCAGCTTATCGAGTGTTCTCCCAACCTCCCAAGTGTTTACATCAGGCTATGTAAACACGGAAACCATTTTACATTTCTTTTATAAAATAACTAATGAAAGAGGGACGAAAACCGTATTTACATACGCTCATGTAAAATGGTTTTATGGCCAATCAGAGCGCGCGTACTATTTGAATTATTTTATAAAACAGAACAGAGCACAGTCAAGGCTTCTCTATTTGTTAAATGGTGAGATGTGACTGGTCGTACAAACTTTACTATTTTTTCTTTTATGCTGTTATACGTGTACTTTGTATCTTAAATAGATTCCATTCAATTTTATATCTATAATGAAGGCATTAAGGAAAAGGAAATTGAGAAAATTGAAAAAAACAATAAACTAATAAATTGATAAGATATGCAGTGTTTTGCCATAACTAGGATTTCGTGCATGCGAGCAAATTTTGATCACGTATTAACTGTTTGAAAGGTTACAAAATAGCAAAACGTTTTGGCGTGCAAATCACATCGTAGAGATGCTTAGTACTTAGGAATAACAAAGATTTTTTTTCTCTCAATTCATTTTTATTTCAATTTTTTTTAAAAGAGCACAGCGATCAAGAGTTATATTTCTACAATGTTTGATTGTCGGTGTGCACAACGAGGGCGACGTGCCATAACCTACGCTAAAGACAGTGTCGACGTCTCTTGTTCAGAATTAAGACTGTTTCCAAGACAAAAATGCTTATTTTGATTGGGCACAGATCACCAAGATTACGAATAACGATAGAAAACCGTAGAACATTCCCAAAATTGAGGATGCATAACCGAATTACACTCACATGAGAGTTTAAAATCGCTCCATCGTAAGCTGTACATTGCCTAGTAGCCTGAAGAACAGACGTAATTTTTTTGCGCTTTTCAGTCAAACGGAGATAAGCGCGAGGCGAGCGCGAAGTACGAGTCACACGCGAGGGGAAGAGCGTGAAAGAAATATCGCCTGCAACCCCTTCAATCACCAACCAATCACAGCGATAAAAAGGTGGCGTGACGAGCAACCACCAGTGAAGATCGTCCTACGGTAGGATGGTGACGGCAAATCCTTGTAAAACTTTCACGAAAACAAATGCCAACTGCTTAACTTCAGGAAATACATGTAAACTCTGATCAGCACCGCATTGATTTGAACGAAAATGGCAATCAGGTAGATTTAATCTTGCCTTGAGAGTCCATTTGCGCAGAAGCCAGCCAAAATATTTAATGTTTGCGCGGCAATCGAGGTATGAAGACAACGATAGGGAACGGCGAAGACTAAAACAAACATGAAGGACCAATAAAATGTATGATTATATGTTGAGGCAACATTTTCTATCAAGAAATGACGGTTACATATAAACATACATGTACGCTTTCGTGCAAACAGACCTTAATGGTGAGCGTTTGATTTCAACGTAATTGACTCTTTGTGGTTATCAAATATTTTGGTGTTTTTAAATGGTGGAAATGTCTGTAATTTGAAAGTTGTACACAATCACGAGTTGACCTAAATTAAAGCGTTTTGATCTAAAACCACGCGTCAAAAAAGCACTCTGCGAATTGTCCCCAACATAGCACGTAACAAAGCTTTTTGTTACAACTGCAGAGAAGCCAATGAACAAGATTTTTTCGGCTTTAGCAAGTATGCAGATTTAGCTTTTACTACAAGTTGAGTATCATTTTGTTAGATCGATATAGAGTTCCTACCGGCATGAAAGTTCTTAGAAGGAAAAGCAAGGAAGCTTCCAGAGCTTGGAATGGGGAACGGCCGAAACAAATTGTTTAAAGTCTGACCCAATGAAAAATACCACGGAAAATGGCCAGTTGGCTCATGAAACCTCCTGGTCTCTCATTAATCTAGTGCCCAAATCCTAACGTGCAACTGTAACTTGGCTGTGGACGGCCTGGATACGTGACTAGTCTCTGATTAACAGTATGGTATTAACACAGGTAATTCGCGACTTGAGCAATGTTTTGAGAACTTCGAAAATACGCGTGTAATGAAGCCACGCCGCGGAATTTCAGAATACCTAAATGCCGGAATACTAATACTGAAAGAAAGCCAAGCTAAGGAGAGAGAATAAGGAGAAAGGAACGCTGTCAAGGGAGTTGATTCAGAAGATTGGAAACGCCAAGGAATAAGAGATTGCTTTGGGTTACCTAGTACCTCTTTTGCAATTTACCATGAATTTTACGTCATGTTATAGTAATGGTATGCCTCAGTGCGATGAAGGAGAACAATGAATCTGGCCAAAAACTTCTGTTTGTACACTATTTTTAACCATGGAAGAAAATAATAGACAACTGGAAACTTCAATTCTGACAATGGGAGGTGAAAAAGTTTTAGGAGGGTCCTAATATATGGGTGCAGCCATTAACCATTGATGGCCCAAAATTTATTAAACTTACACACTTCTTCTCGCCCAAATAGAATATTCGAAAGTTTTATTCTTTTTCTATTCGTCAAAAGAATCCTCGTGATGTTGAGTCAGGAGGTAATTGTTTGTTGCACCGAGATGTTCGTTACACTGTCACGCGTCACATGCAAATCACAGAACCAACTAAGGAGTTTACATAAACTTACCGTTTGTTGCTAAGATTGCCCCA